CATGTGATTATCGGCCAGGCTGGCACAATTAACTAACTCATCCCCTATCACACTAGCGCAGGCACTGCCTTGTGATGGACAATTTCTATCATTACCATTGCTCATCTCCTCGACATCCTAGGGCAGCGGTTCTCAACCTGTGGGTCACGACCCCTTTGGGGGTCAAGTGACCCTTTCACAGGGATCGCCCAGTTTGTAACATTAGCAAAATTAAAGTTCTGATATAGCAATGAAAATAACTTTGTGGTTGGAGGGTCACCACAACATGAAGTATATTAAAGGGTCACGGCATTAGGAAGGTTGAGAACCACTGTCCCAGGGAGTGACCATCTGATTTCTCTCATTTCCTGGTCACTTCTTCTCCCTGTCTTGTCCTGTTACTGAGTGAGGGGGTCTGAGTTCCCGTCATTGCCCACAGAGAACACCTGCTGGCACCCGGAAGTCGTCACGGGAGTCATGCTGTTTGGCAGACTGCTCCTCCTCTTCCTAGCCAGAGAGGGCCTCCTGACAGCCTCTCTGAGTTCTGGGGGCAGTGGGGTCCATGTTTTTTGGCTCATGTCTCTCACATGGCACAAGACAACCTTGTGTGCATCTGGGCGGTGCCAGGGCCATGGGGAACACAAAGGGCTTCTTTTGGTTTTCTCTCTGTTCCCTTCTGCGTTTGACCTTATTAACATGCAGCAAGGGTGTGAAGTGTTTTTAGAGAGCAGTGTCATACTGTGAGGTTTCAGCTCTCCATTCTCAGCTGGCTTGTATTCTCTAGGGCCAGGTGGTGGTACGAGAAGTGGCGTGGTCTTTCTTTTCCGTTAAACGTGTGGCTTTAAATACACTGATGATAAGCATCAGTCCAGGGTGGTTTCTGTGAGACCCAGCCGAGCACCTGCTAGGCTCAGTGGGGCCAAGAGGAAAGACAGAGGGGACAGGAAGACACAGTGGCTTCCTTAGAAGCTTCGGCACCCGCAGAAGAGAAAGTCAGTCTGTTGTGCAGAGTGCCAGGCATGCTGATTGAACTTGAATCAACACAGCTTAGTTAATGGGGCTGATCCTGAAATAATGGCTGGTGGCCTCTGTTCCAGTTTCCAAGGGCCTTGAAACATGCATCC